CATTCGCGCGTCACTCTTGTATGGAGCTAAAATTATTATTTCTTCTGATGACATCATTGGTAACTCTCTCCTCGTCAAGTTCTATATCGGGTACGTTTCTTATGTTTCTTCTTCCCCTCAAATTTGTTACTTTTGTACTCTGAATTTCTAATTCGGATTATAATTTGGATTTTTAGAAATGGTGATATTATTATATATCGGTTTGCTTTATGTAGATAGTGTGTTGGAATCTCAAACATCAGTTACTGAAAGGAGCGTACTTCATACCAAAAAAAGTAAGTATGTTAGATAAAGTCAATTGATAAACCAAATACTATATTTGGTTATTTGCTTATGTTTTTACTTTATGTACGCCAATGTGTGAACCATGTACATGTATTTGTGATGTTTCTATACCACATACAATAAAAATTCTATAAATTTATACTTGATAAATTAATTATTACTATAAATAAAATCTGATTTAAACATATCAGTGAAATAATATACTAAAATATGAGTTTAATGATGTTTTTATTTATTTTAAATAAAAATCTTCTCAAACTCATTTTTAATTTTAGAATTTTTTTTATAGATTATAATCTTTAAAAATCTCTTTTAAAATTAATAAGAAATAAGCAATATTTTTTGAAATCTATAAATTAATAACTCTATAAATTAATAAAATTTTAAAATTTTAAAATTCTAACATTATTTTTTTATAGAGTTTTTACTGTACATTCATAACAAAACTAACTGAAAAACCAAAGCTTTGAGTTATTAACAAATAAATACAAAATGAACTAAATAATTTAGTTCCTTTTTGATTTCAAGAACTATAACAAATATTTTGTGATTTCAAGAACTATTATTTTTGATCGTTTTACAAAAGGATTTTAAGGTAAAATTCAAATTATATGTTCTATTTATTGAAGTCATTTGTTTGGTCTTGTATAGCTTGGCTTGTATAGTATATCAAGTGTGACACTGCAATCTTTTGTTCCTTGTTATTGTTTGGTTGACAACAGAATGTGAGGTGAACTTCGAATATATGAACTACACAGCCATGACAAAACGGTGCAAAGGTCCGGCGTTTCCAGCGAAAGAATGTTGCTTGGCGTTTAAAGAGTTTGCATGTCCGTACGCGAATCAAATCAATGATATGAATAGTGACTGTGCAAAGACAATGTTCAGTTACATGAACATTTATGGAAACTATCCTACTGGGCTTTTTGCTAACGAGTGCAAAGTGCAAAGAAACGAAAGATGGACTTGTTTGCCCTCCTCCACCTCTTAGTTCACTAAGCCTAAACGCCTCAACCGCTGATTCGACTGCTCCTAGGCTCATCACACTTTTGATCTCTGCTACGACCACTGTTTTGGCATTTCTAGCGTTGGCTTGATGCAACACTCCCATAAAGTAATATTTTGTTTTCCCTTAATAATTAGTTAAGTACTTGTAAAATGTAGCAATTCAAGAAAAGAAAAGAAGAAGCGAGACTTGTTTTTGCTTTATTCTATCACCAGAGGCAAAACTTATAGCTGAAATGTTAACAAGAAATGCGAAAAGCCAAAAAAGCAAAAACTCAGTTTGCAAAAAAAAAAACCAAAAAAAAGATAACGTGGGTACAACAATATCTGTGTCTTCAACTGACTGTTCAAGTTATCAACGGATCTTGAATATATCATATATTCAATCTCGGACTCAATCCCTTGCCAAAAGACATCTTCGACTACCGCCTCTATTCCTCGATGAATGTTTCCTGTTTCGCCCCGTGAGTGTATGATTTGGTTGGTAGTAGAATCAAGCTCACTAATGTGTGGTTCTTTAACCTCAATCATGGATCGTGTTTCTTCTAACTTGATCTCAAGAAGTTGTACATTGTGTTGACTTAAGCTTGAAGTTAACTTGGTGAGCAAGTTAGATATTTTCTATTAGGATTAGTGATGGGTTTGCAGGCCTAGGGTTGTTTTTTAACAAGCCCGTTGGTCCTCCAAAAGTTTTAAATTTATAAAACCCTAGTGTCTGCAAGTGCACAGATGTACGTTGTAGAACTTAGGGTGTCGATCCACAGGGATGATGTCTAATCTGCGAGAAACAACAAACTGGAAAGTAAGTAAACTCATAAACCAATAAAAGTTTTAGGGGTTTTTGGTTAAGATCCTAAACTAAACATAATCTAATATTCACAAGAAATGCAATGCATGATGAATAGTTAAAAGAACATCTAAAGCATATCGACTCAAACTAAAGACTCTTAAACTCATAGGTGGCGATTTAGACTTCTCCGGTTTACTCTAATCGATGTATGATGACATTTCCAATTAGCTTCCGAGCGATTTATCTTCATCTGTTTCTGGGAATCTGCATTGAACTAGAATAGACATATGTATGATTAACCAACTGTCGTCACCTTAATCAACTAATCTCTTAGATTTAGCAATTAACTCTCTCTCATGCTAAACTTAAGATCATGCATTGGACATTGAATTTGGCTGCTCACATCTTCTCTATAGGTAGCTTTCGACTCCTATAACGACTATGTTCTTCTGAAGCTAGGTATGGATGATCTGATACAACACTCTCGTGGCTCTGATCGATCCTAGGCTCAGAGAATAGGTCTTGAATCTACTTTCATGCTTTACGACAACTTAGAAGATATGAGATCCAGAATATGGCTAAGAACAATAGAAATCCTAATCGATATATATATGCTTGTCGATATCTTCAAGCAACTTGACTCTCTAGGATTAATCTACATGATGCAATGAATGATGAAAGACATAAAAGAATGCAAAAGAATGAAACAGAAAAGTTAATAAAATAAAAAGGAGGAAGAACAATGGATCTGGGGAAAAATCCCCATCTCCATCTCCTAACCCTAGAAAAACAAAGTTTAGTGGCTCAAAATCTCATTACAGGAGCACACACCCGTTTAGGGCTGCTAAACAATATATTTATAGGTCCTAAGGTCTTCCAGGTCTCATTTAGGGCTTTGATGTTGGGCCTTGTGGCTTGTCCTAAGGTCCACCGGGGGTGAGAGTCTTCCAGCACAGGTAAAACATGTGTTTCCCGCGGGTGAGAGTCTTCCGGGACTGGTGGACTGGGTCAACTTGTTCTCCATGTATCTTTTGATTGCACCGTTGGATCTTTGTGATGTAAAATGCTATAAAAAGCTGGTTGTCTTCTCTTTATTTTCTCCAAATTTGAGCTGGATCAGACGGTGAGAAAGTCTTCATTTGAGGCTGAAATTCTGACGGTCTGACTCTGAGCTAAAAATGTGGATTTCTTCCATTTTGCCATCATATTTCCTAAGTTTCCTGAAAAAAGCCTTGAAACTACAAATACATGGAAATCGTAATAAAAGTTTCTAAAACTAATTAAAACCTTTGAAAAATAATTTGAAATCAATAGTGAAAAGTGGTCAAAATCAGGTGTTATCAACTCCCCCAGACTTAAGACTTTGTTTGTCCTCAAACAAAACAAGATCTAATCTGGAAAAATATCATTCAACAAAAATGAGAGGGAACTCAAAAATATCAGCAACCATACTTCTAGACCTTAATTATGGACAATGCATCAATCAGATCAAGTCTAGAAAATTCTCACCAAAATACAAACATAACTAGTCCGTTAATCCGTCATGCGAAAGTCCACACACTTAGAACTAACTTCCAGTCAACTAGCTCTTAACATTCACTAAAGGTTTCAGTGGTTCTCATAAAAAGGATATTAAACAAGGCATTCAAGGTTATGTATCAAAAGGCTTTTTAATGGTAAGGCTGATGTGTTTAGGGTTACCTTTTTCTGGAGAAACATGACATTATGCAAAACAGCAAGAGAAGATGGAACTGTAAATGCCCCCACAGTTTCAGTCACATTCTTCTTGCTTCAAGATTTCTGATCTCCTTTCTTCAGATTCTCCTTATAGTTCCCTTAGACTTAGATTTTTGTCCAGGTTGTGAATCCATAACTCCTTAAGTGAATACTTATTGCCTTGGCTCAAGTAATTTCGGCTTCTAAGGCTCTTTTAGGCTTTTAGTTTCCTTTCCTTTCTTTCTTTTTTTCTTTTTTCGTTTTTTTTTTTAAAGGGGAAACTGCCTTTTGACTTGGAGTCTTAGTGAGCACGAAAATTACCTTTAAAAATGAACTTTTCTGAGGCATCATAAGATTTCTGGCACACTCCCTTCTGCTCTCTTTCAGTCTTTCTCTTGAGTGACTGAAAACTATGTTGTTCCTTCCTCTCTGGTGTTTTTGCACATATCTGTCGATATAAGCTAAAGAGAGAATGCATGAGGTTTGAACATGAAGGTTTGGGTTAAGGGTGTGGTATCAGCTAAAGGTGAATTGGACATCTAGGACAACAAAGAGTGGTAACAATAAGGTAAAGATGTCCTAGATGTATATCATGATGCCTTTTTTAAAAAAAACCATTGATGAGAAAATTAGATGTCAAGATTAAGTCCAAGTAAAATGAGCAAGTTATCCTGTCAAAAAAGATCTTCATGAATAGAAGTCCTTTGGTGGGATTTCGTAGTGTAAGTACTCTAGCTACCGCCTAGACTAGTATTAAACCTTGAAAGAGTTTTTATGAGTGATTGGTGTAGAAGCAAACAGGTTGGTTATCATCATTGATTTTGTCATCGTTCCCTCAAAATGTATTTGACATTTGAAAACACTTTTTGAAACTTAAAAGACATTTGAAAAGTTTTAATAAAAATCAAAAAATTTGAAAAATTTTAAAGAAAATGCAGAATGCAAAGGCTCATGCAAGAAAAGGTGGTTAGAAAGGGATGAAATTATCCCCCAGACTTAAATCACGCTGCTTCCAGTGTGAAATAAATCAGGCAAGGATGAGAAATAGAGTATGTAAAAAATTTAAAGGATTAAGGAAAAGAAAACTTACCTAGTGGTAGTGATGCTTGATCAAATTTGGATGCTAGGGATCCAAAACAGATTTGGTCAAAGTGGTGGTGGAGGTGGCCAAGGTGGAATAGAGGTGGCCAAGGATGGAATGGAGGTGGCCAAGGTGGCCGGCTGTGCTGGCTGCAGGTCGGAGCATCGCGGCCGCGGTGGGATGCATGCCAGCCGCGGGCCAGACCTTCTTGGCCGCGGTAAAACGCCTTCTGGCCGTGGCTGAACCTCCTTTGGCTGCAGTCAGCTCCTTTTCTTCTTTTTTTTTTTTATAGCATACTAAAGCCTGTCTACAAAACTTTAATAGAAAAAGAAAGCTAAACCAAAAACAAATAAGTACCTAAAATGGGTTACCTCCCATCAAGCGCTTTGGTTTATAGTCCTTAGCTAGACTTTGCAAAGAAAAAGACTTAGTTCAAATAGGATTTTGTCCTAAGACAAGTCCTTTTCGAAATCCTCCTGTTCTGTCTTGCAGGTTCTTCATCACTCCAGAGTTCTTCTGGTTCAAATGTCTGGGCTTTATGTTCTTCTCTTTTGCTCTTAAGTGGTGTAGCTTCATAGAAGATGATATGATCCTAGGTGATCAACTCTGAAGCAAGGGGCAATAGATGTGGCGATATGGTGGATGGAATGCAGCGATGCTGCGATGGAGTGGTGAAGGTGGCTGGTGGATCGGATCGATGGTTTGTGATGGAGAGATGATCGATTGATAGTGTGGTGGTAGTGTGATAATCGAATTGATGATGATGGAGAGATAGAAGAATCTCTTGTAAACAGATTAGTTTTTAAGAGATTCGAATTTCGGAGTTTTCTTATACTCAGAAATCAAAGAGAGAAGAACACGTTAAAAGTTTGATCAAAATTCTTCACTGAATATTACTTAGGCGATTTTCTCTTTTTTATAGACTAAGAGAGAAAATCGCAGCCTTAATAACAAACTACATGGCGTTTGAAATAAAAAAAACAACACAAAGTTTAATTTAAAAATAAAACAGCGAGGCGTCCCTTCTAAACCTAAGTGGTGCGCCTAAAACACTAGTGCACAAGTCATTGTGACTTTGCACATTATTACCCATTAGTAACAACTTCTAAGTAACTCGACGTAGCAATGATTTCTGCCTCGTTAAAAACCTTGGAGAAGAACCTCCTTGCCTTCCAAAATCCTCACCAAGGAAAAGAGTACTGAATCATCACCTAAGTTACCTAGTCATTGTTACTGGGCTCTTCATTCTTCAAGATAGAGATGTTGAAGATGTGAGTTCCAGCCTCCAGTTGATCGATGTCCTCTGCGGCAATGAGTGCGTGAGCCTCCTTAGCCATCTCTCTAGCTCTGGAACGAGTAATCCTGCCAGCTACCTCTGGTTCCTCCTCCTCTGAGCTGGTCACGATCATATCATCCTCTCCCTCTTGAAAAGGATTTGTCCTCAAATCTGAATCTGCAACATAAGGAAGCAAGTCAGAAACATTGAAAGCATCAGAAACATCATACTTACCTTGAAGATCAATCTGATAGGCGTTGTTGTTGATTCTTTTGATGACTGCGAATGG